TCTGCTGCAGATGTCCCAGATAAATGTTGCAAAAGATTGGGCAACTGCTAGTTGCAATTTTCTGGCTTAATACTCAAGGAGTGAGTTATCCTCCAAATGTGAGAGCAGTCATTGAATTGAGGGCATTCAGTAAGTGATCTTTTGCGGGAAAGGTCGAGGCGGTTGCCAAAAGTAGATTATCAAGCGATCCAATTGTTGTCTAATATGTCTAACCTTCAAAGGAAAAGAAGATCATTTTATCTTCAAGTGTTGGGTTAACAAAGGGTAGAGGGAATTACATGAAACTCCTGGGTTAACAACCCGAAAGTGCCTATATCATGGTACAATGGAAAAGTGGGGATATAAGATGCAACCCTGAAGGATATGAAACAATATATATTTTTTTATATCGGTGATATAATTTATTTCAAGTAATAATATTAAAACTAAGTTTATCCTACTTACTGAATATCATTTAAAATATTCATGTGCACCACATGATGGAGTACGAGTGCCATTTCAATTTCCAGACTGGGCTTAAACATCAAGTCACGCCCTCAACGACGACCACACCCCCAAAAACCAACTCAACATCATGAGCAAAGGAAAAAATGTGTAAAACAAAAAATACAAAACACAAAAAATGCCAAGATAAAACCACATTAAAAGCGGCAGCCGCCAAAGTCATGAATTACAATGCTTAAAATCGCTCATTAGGAACTAAAAATTGGTAAACTTAAGGCGATAAAGATCTCCTCGAAAGCAGCGACAGTCAGACATGGCTAAGGCGAACAATGGATATGGTAAAAATAGAGGCGGGCAAAGAAAGAGCGTGTGGAAATAATTTGGTTACAATTAAATAACAAAAGAATTTGTTTGGCAACTCTTGTGCGCTTTTTGGCCAACAACGTATGCCCCATTATGGCCAACACCTGCCCCGCCTCCCCCTCACCATCCCCCCGGCGGCATTACAAAGTACTGTACTCCCCCCATATAACCATTTCCAATGCCATTGTCCAATTGTTAGGGCTCAGCTTCAGCTGTCCCGCTCCAGATTAAGCTGCGACTATAATTAAGAGCGGAACGGGTCAGCAAAGGAGTGGAAATCGCGGGGAACGGCAACTGTTTACCATAACAATGAGCTGGCTGCGGGGAAAACACCTTTGGATGCACTGGGAAAAATTCAGGACCCTTACTATAAGATATGCCACTGAATTTCCAAATTTTTAGAAGGTTTCTATACATACAAAAATAATAAAAAAAAGTTTACTTAAACCAGTTTTATTATTTCTTTTAACAAAAAGGTTTACAAAAATTGGGAAGTTATTCTGATTAATTTACATATATGCTTAATATTTATCAATTGCTTAAGATTTAATAATACATTTCTAACACTGCACTTTCTGTATATCATCGAATATTTCAAACATATTGTAGGTTTAAAAAAAATTAGTAACAAACGATTCCTTTCTGTGCATCTGCCAGAAAGAAAAACTTTTGTCGTCGGCCTGGTCAGGTGTTAATGTCTGTGTTTATGGCCCAAGTGAATAGAGCCGACTCCTATATATGAGGTGTGCAATTATCGTCATTAGTCCCCGTCCGATTCGACCCTTCTTTGATCCAGCATTGTTCTTCTGACGTTTGCCGCTTTAGTTGCGGCTTGTTGTGTATCGATGTTGCATGCTATAATTTTGAAAATAATAAAATGATTTCTTCATGCCAGTCACAGTTGCGCTGCACACACACACGTCATAATCATCCCAAAGACCCCAACCCCATCGCCTTCGTCATTATGCTGATGATCATCGGTCTCGCCTCATCCAATTATTACAGTTTAGCCATGCCACAAGTCAAACAAAAGATCCCAGGGCTGTCAGAGTCCCGTCAGAAGTTCTCTTCTTCATGTTGGTTTTTTAAAGGTTACCAAAAATTGGGGTTGAGTGGGTTGCTCTCGGTGGTTGCTCAAGGACCCAAGGTGTTAATAAGTGGGTTGGCCACGGAATTAGGGAGTGGTGCGCGATAGGGGATCAAGGCATAATTTTTAAAAATTTTATAAAGTCTGTCATTAAACAGAAATATTTTTGCAAACGTAAGACTGCTTACCGCAACTCTGTGTTCTCAAAAATTAGTTTTAAATTTAATTTTATGTATTGAAATTTATATTAAATTTGAAAAAATATATTCTTTTGTTGGTCAAAAGTATCGTATTTAATTTATTTAGTTATATCCATAATTCCAAAAATATATTCTTTTCTCGGACAAAACTTTTTATAGTTAATATTTTAGTACAATTTATTTGTTGCTGGCTTTCCGCAAGAAAATAGAGCAGCCTCTTTCCATCGCAATACTTTGTACATTATTAACTCCTACTCGTCTAATGGGCTAATTAACCGTATTACAAAACCCGCAACAAACTGGCGCCACATTCATTCAATCTAAATCAGAGTTAGCGCTATTGCCGGGCTCTTTGCGACATAAAGTTTCTTGAACTTAGGCCTCAGACACACAAACCCGAGAGATGTGTGCGGGTTAATTGGGTAAACTGCCTGCGACATCATGCGACTGCGAGCGAGAATCATCTGAATATAGGGATAATTCGCTCGAGATGTTTACACAGACAATAATCCGTCGCGCAAGGCGAATAAATTGAAAGAAATGGGGAAATCTGGGGGGATGTATGGAGATGTATGGGGCCTCCTGAGAGAGAGATTTACGTGGAAAAGAGACAAACAAATAAATTTACTTTGATTGAATAATGGTCGCATAATTGGCAACTTGAATGGAATTGAGTAGCAGGCAAAACGCAATTGAAAACTGTAACAACAAATGCAGTTCGCAGGAATACGAGTATTAACTAAGTGAATTGGATAATCTCATTCGCATTCCCAATCCCATTCCGCAGTCTAAGATTTCTTCACCTCAATTGAAATGTGCAACTGAGAAATGTCAGCCGGCAATTGTCGTCTAGATGGATGCGAATATCACGCATACGCCCCGTAAGGTGCAGTTGCACAATCGCAGTTTGTTAACCCCTGGGCTAAACGATGAATCACTACCTTGATTATGGGAGTGAGCAAGTGGATCGGCCTGAAAGATCGAGCTGCAGTGAAGGTGCGCCAGACAGCGACTAAGAAAAATGAGTGGTTATTAACACCCAACCAAAGACCTCGCTTTTAATTTCATGATATATATGTGAGTTGGCTAGAAGACTCGCCTGCTGCCATATTCTTAGTCATAAACTATAAGAGAATTTCCAGATTTTGAAAATACATCCAATACCATAACATTCATTCTATTCTGTAAACATGCTGATGTTGTATAGTTGTATACAAAACTGGCACAGCGCAAAAAGCATAAAATCATATATTTAAAATACAAGAGTAGATCGATCGCCTGGTGATGCAGATCAAGAATATTTACTTTTAGAGTCGGAAATGTGCTCTTTACTGCGTTGCAAACTTTTGACTAAAATTATGATACCCTCTGCAATATATAATACCTAACATGAAAATGGCTCAAAAATTTGATAAGCGCTAAATTGAAAATTTTGAATGCAGATTTTTAGAGAATCGAAGCACGAGTCTTTTGAGGTATGCCACTTTAAAATCGGTTTAAATTTGGTAAAGTTATGGACTCTCGAGGTCACATTTTAAGTCACTCTTTTACAAGACATCGGAAAATTGGAAATAACTAACATGAAAATGGGTCAAAAATTCGACCAACGTTAAATTGAAAATTTTGAATGCAGATTTTTAGAGAATCTAATCACGAGTCTTTAGAGGCATGCCACTTTGGAATCGGCTTAAGTTTGGTAAAGTTATGGACTCTCGAAGTCACATTTTAGGTCACTCTTTTACAAGACATCGGAAAATTGGAAATAACTAACATGAAAATGGGTCACAAATTTGATCATCGTTAAATTAAAAATTTTGAATGCAGATTTTTAGAGAATCTAATCACGAGTCTTTAGAGGTATGCCACTTTGAAATCGGATTAAGTTTGGTAGAGTTATGGACTCTCGAAGACACATTTTAAGTCCCTCTTTTACAAGACATCGGAAAATTGGAAATAACTAACATGAAAATGGGTCAAAAATTTGATCATCGCTAAATTGAAAATTTTGAACGCAGATTTTTAGAGGATCGAATCACGAGTCTTGAGAGGTATGCCACTTTGGAATCGGATTAAGTTTGGTAGAGTTATGGACTCTCGAAGTCACATTTTAGGTCACTCTTTTACAAGACATCGGAAAATTGGAAATAACTAACATGAAAATGGGTCAAAAATTTGATCATCGTTAAATTAAAAATTTTGAATGCAGATTTTTAGAGAATCTTATCACGAGTCTTTAGAGGTATGCCACTTAGGAATCGGATTAAGTTTGGTAAAGTTATGGACTCTCGAAGTCACATTTTTGGTCACTCTATTACAAGACATCGGAAAATTGGAAAAAACTAACATGAAAATGGGTCAAAAATTTGATCATCGTTAAATTGAAAATTTCGAATGCAGATTTTTAGAGAATCTAATCACGAGTCTTTAGAGGTATGCCACTTTGGAATCGGTTTAAATTTGGTAAAGTTATACTCTGGAAATTAGAAAATAAATTCTATATTTTTGACATATCAAAATGATCGCTATAAATATAACACATAACTATTTATTCTTTTTAGGTGTGTACGCATTGATGTAAAACAATTCCATGACAAAAGGGCATGTTTCCCCCAAGTTTTATTAATTTTATTTGATGTCGTGCGTGGGACATGTGCTGAAATTTGATTTGATTTGACACTTGGTAGTGGCATTTAGCGCTACTTCTACGGTGCCAACAACTACCCATATGTATATACGAATATATATGAGTGTGCCTCCAGTTATTAAGGACTTCCTGTTCGTCCGATTGCCGACCAGTTTGTCGCGACAACAGATTCATTTAGCGGCCACTGCAGTTCAATTTAACACCCGCCGACACAAACAATCCCCAAGCTCCCCCGTAGATTTCATTAATTTATGTCTTTGTGTTTTCAATTTTTATTTCAATAGAATTTTAATTGGTTTCTGTTTTCATCGCTTAGTTCGGTGTCTAAATGTACAATAATATATAAATTAAATAGTGCTTAGTTCTTTGCCTGCAGCGCTTAAGTATCGTTAAACATATTACATTCATATATCGTAGATATGTGACAACAAGTTACCAATTCTGAAACACTCGTCTGGAAAAGCCTTTGCAGAGGTTTTTTAATCTGGTTTATTTGTATTTCATTTTCAAGATTCTATAGATCAAGTCTTAATAGGTTTTCTGGCTAATGACGGACATTGATTTGATTGAAAATAATATAACTAACAATCGTTTTTAACTTAAAAATTTTAAGTAATTTTGATTAAGATCTTACAGTATTTCGAATCATGAAAAACAAATTTTTTCTTCATCAATTGAACCCTCTTATTTTCTTGAAGTAAAAATGGCTGTTTTGTAATATTTGGCATTAGTTTATATTCGCTCATAAATCTAAAGCTTTTTGCTTACCAATCAGTTAATATTTCGCCAACTCTGCAAAGGTTTCTTTTAAATTCGGTTAACCGAATATGTTTATGTTCTTTAGCTCCTGGTTTGATTTTCTTATTTTCGCCCCCTTTTTCATCTATTTACAAGCGTCTAGCGCCTCAGTCGCGGCTATATCTATGTACAGTGAATACTTATAAGCTAGAGAAGGTGCTCCCTCCATCTTCCCAGAATCTTCAGCTGTTGCGGGACACCACGGTGACGGGTTTGATGAGGGGCTGTGGCGAGGGTCCCGGGGAGTCCCCGCCCCCCTGAAGGTGACTGGGCGGCGAGAGGGGCGGCTGGGCCACCAGGTGGGCGTGGTGGGGCGGCGGTTGTGACGCCGAAGCCGCCGCCACCGAAAGTTGCCGCTGATGAGCGGCTAGAGCGGCGGCTGCCGCATGTTGATGCAACAGCTGTTGATACTGCAATCGCTGGTAGAGTTCGCTGCTCGTGGGTGGTGCCACAAAGGGGGGCGGAGGTCCGGGGGGTCCCGGAGGTCCAGGCAGGCCCGGTAGTCCCGCCCCCTGGTGCGGCGGTATACCCGGATGTCCGGGTCCACTTTTCGGGGCAAAGGGATTGTAGCGCTGGTACATGCTGGCCAGCAAACTTGGCGCCGTCGGTGGATAGGTGAGAAATTGGCCAAACTGGGGATAGGCGGCCAGTCCTGGGAACATGGGTCCTATCAGGGATCGCTTGAAGGCCGCCAACCTTGAGCGAGAGGCAGCCGTCGTCCTCCTCCTCAACTTCCCCGTCGATCCTCCAATGAAGACATCCTCCGCCGAGGGATCCAACATCCAGTAGTTACCCTTCCCAGGATCATCGTAGTGTCGAGGCACCTTCACAAAGCACTTATTCAGGCTAAGATTGTGCCTTATGGAGTTCTGCCAGCCCTGTTTGTTGTCCCTGTAGTAGGGATGATTGGTCATGATGTACTCATAGATCCCATTCAGGGTTAGACGCTTCTCCTGACTTTGGCGAATGGCCATCATGATCAGGGCATTGTAGCTATAGGGCGGTTTCTCATTACCCTTTTTATCCTTGACGGGCTTGCCATCAGTGGATTTGTTCTCCGCATCGCCATCGGTGGTCTCACCATCACATTCTATGTCCTCCTCCACGAACTCCTCGTCGACTTCCTCCGGATCGCTTTCGTTGGGATTCACAGCTGGTGCCGGTGACATGGAGGTCACATCCAGATCCGATTCGGGATCACTTTCCGCCTCCTGATCCTCGGAACCCCAGGTGGTGGCATTCAGATTATTGTTATTATGATTGGGAGGAAACTTCGCCGGGGGTTTCTTCTCTACTTCCTCCTCCTCGTCGTCATCGTGATGCTCCAAAGTCTCGGGTAGAATGGCATTAATGGAGAAACTGGATTTCAGATGGGGCGTCCTGGCCATTTTGATCAGATTGGTGAGATTCAGGCCGACGGGATGGGGATTTTGGAGCGGATGATGGTGGGTGGTGGGCGGCAGTGGGTGGTGGTGGTGCTGAAAGTGGTGACTGTGGGCGCTGATCTCGCTGGACGGCAGACCTTCCTCGATCTTCACCATGTTGTGCAGTTCAGATGATTTAACAGCTCAACATTGCCTTTAAAGTTAATTTTGGTTTTATTTTGATTTATACAGCCTTTTACATAAATATTAAGATCTTATGGTTTTTTGTTTGTAATGCTTTTCTTATAAAACTTCCACAATATTTTTTTTAAATTTTATTAGGTATTGTCAAACAAAGTTCTTCCAATCTATTCGTTTTTGTCTTTAGAATACCAATATATCGTTATTAAGGCTATTCAATTGAGCCATTCTTTAAAGGAATTTGTTAGAAAATCTTTGAATGATTTGTAAATATTTATTGTGTTGCTAATCGTTTGTTTTTAATAGTATTCTGTATTTATTTTCGTTATTTTGGAGTTTCCAATTCACTAGATTTTCAAATTGGCTGTTTCGTTCAGTTCATTCGTTTTACGTTCAGTTTTACCGACGCTCGACGATAATACACAGCCCACAAATATACACGATTTCACGTCCGTTGCTCTGGGGCTTTCAGTGTAGACTAAAAACGAGAATTCCCAATAATTCCCAATCGCAGTCGGTCCGGTTTTTTTTTGTTGAGCAGGGTCTTCAGAGGTGTTATCGGGGGTGGTTCTCAAACCGACCAATCAGCGCTGTGGAACGAATTATAAGTTGTCCCTGTCCAACGCACTCAAATTACGTACTCTCTTTCCCGCTCAGATTTATTTTTCCCATTCGTTTAGCTAATTGCCGCCGACATGAAACACGAAAAACGCCGACGCCACGCACACAAATAAACAAAAACTCGGGAACATGTATAGACCTATATGGTACATCCCATGCCATATAGAGTGGGTCACCCTTTTCCGGATTGTGGGTTGCGTTTTGATACGCTAGGTATTTTTCGTATACTTATTATTCTTTATTATTATTCCCCCTTGCTCTTTTATATCGGCAGCTGCCGTCGTTTCGTTGTTGGTGTTAATGTATTTCTTGTTTTTACACACAGTTGCCATTATTAATTGTATCCCGGACCGTTGTTGTTGTTATCGTTTCAGTTGCCGTTTGCCCCCGTTAATTTTTCGGCGAGTTTGCAAACTTATGGATGGCGAAAGGGGGTTGCGAGTCAGTTAGATATGGACAGAGATTTGTGTTTTCAGGATTGGGATTTGTATACCCGTAGAGTAACATTAAGATGATTCGGTACAATAGCCCGATTTTGTGGGAGGGAGTTCATCATTTCATTTCTAGGTAGTACATTTTAACAGATGTTACCAATTGTAATCAATTGGCATTGATTTTTATGACCGGTTAGGATTTTAAATAATAAACTTTTCTTCTCTTTAAGCAGTTAGAAATGATAGAACCCCAAAAAGGAGGTAGTTATAAATACATATTTAAATCGCAAAGTTAAATTAAAATGCCATATTTCCTCAAGGAGAAACTTTTCAACTACCAAGCAAATCAAAAACGATCTGACAATTAAATGTAATTTGGAGCAATCAATTTCCCCGAAGGAATTTTCCAGAACGCCTGCAAAAGTGGAATAGCAGCTGCTGGCATTCGCATGAGCCACGAAACACATGCCACATGACCGGCCAACAAAGACCCCATGGCTAAGACCTATATGGTTACCCCTCTCTAGTCGAAATCATTGCTGTAATCATAATAATTGTTTTCACAAATTGGGGGCGTGCACTCGTCGGCCCTGCGATTGGATCCAAAAACACACACGACTGCAAGGAGGGGGAAAACATGTTTTACCTGAACGAAAACCATAAAAAAAGCCGAAGACCAAGACGACGACGCCATGTTTGTATCCGTATCTGGTTTTGGGTGTATCTGTATCTTTGTGTGTGCTTGGCCACAACTTATTGGATAACCGAGTGGAGACATGCGCTCTCTTCGATGGAGAATGGGGAATTCTCCAAGCGGAAAACACAAGCCCCCCTTTTTGTTACTCTCCGGTCAATACAAAATGGCGCCCAACAGTATTCAATTGATTTTTCGTAGCCCCATTGTTTTCTAAGTATTTCAATTAAATTATTTATCATTGTATTTTCTGCGTTGGGTAATTGTTTTGGCTGCTTTGCATTCAATTGTGACGGGGTTTCGAACTAAATGGATGGGCAACTCTGGGCTATTATTAAATAATGGGGGATACCACTGCATGATAATTATGGGTCCTCTTTGAAATTGTATGTTTGCTCTAAATACATAATAGAGATATTGCAAGAAGGGAAGACACTTAATAATATTTTATTAATTATGTTATTATATTTGGAATAACTTAGGAGGGGATAAATTTGAAAAGTGAAATGAGGGTGGTATTCAGTATTGGTTATTTATTCCAAAGGAACATTTTAAATTGAGTAAATAAATTATTTTGTGATGAGCCAACATAGAAAATTACATTGATAGTTTCATTGTATAAGTAATACAAAAATATTCGTTTAACAGATAATGCACTGATCTTTGTAAAATTAACAAGAGAGAACGCTATAGTCGGGTGCCCCGACTATCAGATACCCGTTACTCAGGCAAAGGGAGTGCGAGGGAGATGGAGATAGAAACTTTGATCACGCATAACTTTTTAACGAATGGTCCGATTTGAAAAATTTATTCAACATTTCGATAGGTACTGATAAACACAATAAAACTGCATTTTTACTTTTCCGAAATATTTAAATTTTTAAAATCGTATATAAGCGATTGTGGGCGTTAAAGGGGGCGTGGCACCAATTTGAAACAAACTTGCGCTGCGTAGGAACTTCTAAAATCTACATGCAAAATGCCAATCTTCTAGCTTTTATAGTTTCCGAGATCTCAGCGTTCATACGGACAGACAGACAGACAGTCGGACAGACAGACGGACAGACGGACAGACGGACATGGCTAGATCGACTCGGCTAGTGATCCTGATCAAGAATATATATACTTTATAGGGTCGGAAACGCTTCCTTCTAGCTGTTACATACTTTTGCACGAATACAATATACCCTTTTACTCTACGAGTAACGGGTATAAAAATGATATACTTCCAATGTTTAACTTAACTCAAACGATCAATCATCCCACTCCTGTTGATTAACCAAATAAATAAAAATCTGTGTTTACTTTGCGATTCATCTTACCGATTTCCCGCTCAAAATTTCAGAAGCAAAATAAGCAGAAAAATCCTTTTCGAAAATATTCAAAATATCAACAATTCAAAACAAACAAACCGACCAGAGAACCGACTTAGAACTTCCCGACAATCGGGAGTCCGGAAACTACAGAGCGTAATTACCCCGGACAAACAAAAACCCATGAAAAACGGCCACCGAAAAAAAACCAACTTGTCATTGATTAAAACGCTGAAAAGGAGACAGATTTCCGCGCTACTGGAGGGATTTATATTTCAGGATTTCGGATTTATACACACCCGTTCGGAGTTAGGGGCGAGAGTACTTTACTAATCAGCCAGATTTATAGCAGGCATTTAGTTTTGTTCCAGCTCGAGGTTTTTGATATTTTGGCAGAAATGAATCCGCGACGCTTAACCCTTTAGACAAAATTCGGTGGTGCTCAACCCGTTCTCGGCCGTAAAGTTGCCACGCCCCGTGGAAAAACGCCTACGCGCATGTCCTTCCGGGTATATATGCCTTATTTTGATAGACTCAATGGCAGTTTAACCGCAGGATTAGCTTGTTTGTCCAACGGATCAGCGCGGTCCATGCAAACAAGGCTCTAAATCGTAGGATACTACTACCTGCGGAATCGGGGTTTCTGAAGGGGTTAAGGGTCGAGATGAGGATCGGGTCGAGAGGATTGGCTTTAAAGGATGGCCCGTCGCTTCCGCTGTTTATATGGTCTGTTTACATGGTCGCAGTCAGCAATGGGAATCCTACAATGTCCTACCTACGCCCAAACACCATTCCAGCTACCGTTTCGAAAGAGTTAAGCAAGGATTAGATCGATCCAGGTTCGGAACGAGGACTTAGCTTAGCGCGTATTAATCTCATTTCGTGGACCTCAAGCTGTGTCCTCCTCGAAGGCCTTGCTCCTCCCTAATCGCCGTCGCTTAGCCATGCAAATATTTTCAATTTGGCCTTTGGCTTGATTAAGGAAAACGGGTTAAACCCTCCCGCTAACATCTGATTTCGATTAAAGCGTCTTAAATAGTTACAAATGAAATAATAATAATGATTTGTTAAAGAACATGACTAAATAATAAATATCAGCTTTTAAAAAAGTTTAAAAATTAACCTTAGGTAATCTCAATTTCAAAATATATTGTATTAAACTTATTCAGCCTTAAGATACATCAAACTTTCTTGACTTTTAACCTGCTATACTTTTCTTAAACTCGGTTACCGAAAAATGTTACACATTTCAGAATATAGTTCCCTGAGTAAAAAAGAGTTTTCCTCTCGCTTTTCGTTCTGAGCCGTTTTCAAGGGGATTTACCCGGCGGGGAAAGGAAACTGACAAATTGGCCAAATTTTGTTGAAATCACGTTCACGGGTCTTTGGACAGTTCCGGGATTCGGACACACTTGTTACGTCTGTTGTTGTTGCTGTTATCGTGTGCTTCGTTTTGCAAATAAACAGCCAAATGAGTGTCCTAGAGGTTGCCTTGAGTACGGCGAAGGGTGAAATCCGTGGGGGGAGGGGGTTCCTTTTTGGGGGTTGCTCCATGGACCAATGGTCCATGCTGCGAGAGCATATGGTTTGCCAAAACAGCGGGGTGATGAGCCGGAAACCAGGATTTAGAAAAAGGAAACTTTCAGCTTCGGTGGTTGATAAGTGCGCTATAGCAGGGGATTCGATTTGAAAGTCTATTCGAAGATGATTATCATCTGAGATCATCTGAGAATGGAGTGTTGCCATATGGTAGAGTGAAAGATGAAATAAGAAGATTGCCTGACCAAACTGAACACCAAACACTAATGTAGACAATGTTTGACAGGTTTTAAAATTTGCTCTAGTGTTAAGCCTTATAACATTTTATAAATATTTGTAAACAAAACTTGATCCAGCTGAAAAATTGATATGATGGTATTACTCAAAAACAACAGAATACATAACCCCCTTGCAAATTAAAGCATAAAACTATAGATTAGAAAATAGCTATTTAAATTTGGTCAACTACAGTATTTTCTTGTCTGAATGAATTTAAAAATGTATATGCTTTGATCACGTAGCGCACCAAGTTGGTCGACAAACCCTCAAAAAAAGCCCAAAGCTCACCCCTTCCCAACGGCTAACACTTGATAATTGTTGACAATGTGTTATAAACTGATTTACACGCATTTTACGAAAAAAGAGAAACACTGCCAAAACTCACGCAGCGCCAACACCAACAACAAATAACATTAACAACCCACAAACGCTGACAAAAACGAGGCGACGGCAACGCGACACTCGTCAGCAACATCGTTAAGGGCAACCGAAACACCAGCACCACTACACTGAGAAAAAATATATATAGATTAAAAAAAAACATCAGTAACCCTAATCCTAAATGTTTTTATTAAACGCTTTATAA